TGAAATCACTTTTCAAGGTGTTTTAAGGAAAGTATTAAAGACTTTATTAGCAAAGAAGCATAAAACTTCTTGTGAACATCTTTTTTGTATGTGATCAAAGGATTAACAGAAAGAGTTTATATTTATATATTATTAATTAAAATACTACAATACTTAAAAAAAAAACCAATAATATACAAATATAAATTAGTATTATATAAAAATCCATATAATATTGTAATATTTATTTAATATCTCAATAAATATATATAATAATGGCATGATTGTGAATAAAAAAAAACCAATAATATATGATAAAAAATTAGCTATTATGTAAATAGTCTATATAATATTGTAGATATTTATTTAATGTCTCAATAAGAACATAAATTTTAAAATTTCTAATTATAAAAAAATATATTTTAAATTATATTCTTATTATTCATAGCTCATCACTTTTATCCTAGATTTCTTAATACTTTTATCTATATTTTTTGTTCGACAATATTAATTAACCTAAATTTATTTAACTCAAGTTTCATAGTACTTTAGAAATTCGATTAAAAAGCATGCCCTGTTTATAATGTGTGTAAATTCGTTAAGGATATGTAATTAGGAGAAGCTTTATAAATGTTATTATTTAAATATTAATCGCACGGATGAGAAAGATTTGTACGTAAGTGAAAAAAAAACTAGAGAGAAGCCTCTATGAAATAGATATTTTTAAAGCACAACTAATAAGAAAATAGGACCGACCCGACTTGATTTATAGAAATACAATAATATTACCTTTTTTTGATTCTTTCTTTTATAAAAAAAAATATATATATAAAATAATAATAAACTAATATAATTGTTACAAAATCTGTACATACGAAACATGCGAAAAAATAAAAAAAATAAAAAAAAAAAATAAACAAAAAAAGGAATAAATAAATGAGGAGCCATAACGAAATGAAAAGATTGTTATGCAAGTAAAAAAGATGACCTGAGAATGTCAAAACATACAAACTAATTCAAAGTTAATTCTAATATTTCGAAGGACGACAACTCGATTAATGCTCATCATATGCCAGTAAAAGTATATTAAGTTAAGAATATTGCGATTATTAAGCCCAGACCTGCATTCAAAGATAGATTAATAGATGATCGAAAACAAACGACAAGGAATAAATTATGCAAAACCTACCTTTAATAATGAATCCCAACTGCCCGTGCATAAAGCCATGCCATCAGTTGATACTCCCAAACAACTGACACGATTCTCGTGCGCTGCCAACACCCCAACACGTTCTCCCTTTAATGTGTCCCATACATTGCAGTTGAAATCATCATAACCTGCAAAAAGAAGGCGACCAGAAATGGAAAAGGCAACAGAGGTGATGCCACAAAGAATAATATCATGAGTATATTGGTTAAGTTCCCGATCGGCACGAAGATCAAATAATCTACAAGATGCATCATCAGAACCAGTCCCAAACGCTTCGCCATTAGGGAAGAATCTGCAATATCGATTAATCATAATTAAATAAAAGAAAAGTATGATGTTATACATTAAAAAGAAATAACTTACTGCACAGCATTAATATCTGATTCATGACCAGTAAATGTTTGTACACAATGACCAGTTCTAATATCCCAGATTTTTGCAGTAGCATCACAAGCACCGGAAACAAAGATTTGCTGATTAGGTGCAAGAGATAAACTTTATGGAAGTAGATCAAAAATTAATAGCGCCTATTATCATACAATTTTCTTATTCAATATCAATTTAATCAAGTTTTACCTCATTACATCTCCAGTATGATTATTAAATTCTGTAACTTTCGTGCCGGCATCAATATCCCAAAGCATACACGTCATGTCCCCTGAAGATGTCAATATCTGTCTATCATTAAGAAATCTGCAGCAAGAAAGATAACCAGTGTGAGCTCCCAATTCTCGGGCGACCTTGACGGAACCTTCTTTTGTCTTCAAATTATAGATAGAGCAAATATTATCTAAACCACCACAGGCGACAAAATTTCCGGATGGCGCATAAGCACAAGTCATGACCCATGATGATCGAAGAGGAATTGCGTGGACCTTATTGGTGGTGGGTGCGTCCCAGACAATAAGTTTACCATCCTGTGAAGCCGAAACAAGATGGCGTCTGTCTGAAGCCCAGTGCATTGCATAGATTTTAGCAAGATGACCTTTGAGAGTACGACGGACTTTCATCACAATCCTGGGTAAAGGATCAATTTCGGCTGCCATTACTCTTACTAAAATTGCGTGTAAGAATTTAAATTGAATTAATGCATTTACTTTGAATAATGCGTTATATAAATCCGTTCTTATAATTATTTAAAAACGTCTAATATGTCGCAAGCTCTCACCGCCATTTCTAACTCACTAAGCTAAATCTCTAGAAACGCCAACACCCGAGAACGACAAATGCGAGCAAGACTCGTTGGAAACTTACAAGTAGTATCGGCCAACGTATCTTTCTTCAGCTTGATTTTCTCCTTCAATGTTTCTGCTTCCTTGCGGGCAGCGGCTATTCTGTCAGTGATGTCTGCCATTTATGAGATACAAGAGAAGGTTGAGTAGTAGGAATTCGTCGATTGTTGGGATGTTGGAGGGAGAGATGGTCTTTCTTCTTAATTTTCCTTCGTTCGAGGGTGGTATTAAAAAGAAGTGTTGGATAAAAGAAAAAAGACAAGGTCACAAAATATCAGACGAGACCCAATTCCGGATAATAATAAATTATCCAAAACGTATTACTTGAGTAAGGTGGCACAATTGCATTCTCGACGACAGTGAGATGTATTTTTTTAAAGTACCTAGATTCATTGGTCAATTTGTATTGTGCAACGTGATATCGCAATGCACTTTTTTTTTTATTGTTTATAAAATATTTTTATTGGTTTAAATTGTTTCAATATAAGTAAATATACGAAGTAACAATATGTATTAAATATAATTTCTTTTTGTATTTTAGTTAACTATTTATTTTTATTTTTATTTTTTTTTGACCTGCAATTATGCCATCATGATATATCTTTATTGAGATATTAAATAAATATCTACAATATTACCTAGACTATTTACTTTTTTTTTTTAATCCTTAATCGAATCAACATAACTTGTCTGTATTATATAAATATATGATATTTATAAATTATTACATGCTAACTCACCTGTTATCTAGGTGCAATTTAGGAAATGATATTTTGCTTCTTTGTTAATTTGAAATACTCCTTAATTAGCAAAATCATTACCTATAGATCATTACTATAGATTATTCTAAATTTTACCTATAGTTAAAAATCAAATCATTTTATTTCATGATAAATTCAATCCTTAATAATTTTTATGTATTCCTTTTTCTTCTTTTTTCCTATTTCTTCTTGACCTAGATTTTCAATTGGAGATGATGTATATTCTTTTTGATCTCATGTAATCTATTCAATGAACTTATGTTTAAGTCTTTTAGATTTTTTTTTTTTTAGTAATAGTCAATTCTTTCTTCTATTCTATCACTTTAACATATTGGATATTTTAAATTTTCTTCTTGAAATTTTTTCACATTTTCTAATAGAGCTTGCTAATATTCTATATAGATATTAAAGAAATTTTAAATTATGCTTTAAAGTAACTTTTTAAGGAGATGATTTTGTTTTCCTCTATATATTTACAAATAATATTGAAAAGATTTTTATTAAATTGCTATATTTTATTTAACTAGTTTTTTATCCAATTACTAGTTATAGATGGGATTTTCTTCTTGTTTTTTATTTTTTTATTAATTTAATAGGTAAGTTTTTCATTTACTATTTTTCATATATTTTCTTTAGTTCTATAGTAGCTAAATATTTAAATATATGTCCTAATATTTCTTTTTGTAGTTTATATATTGGATAGATTGTTATAGTATAGATATTAGGTTTCCTTTTCTTGAATATTCATAGTATTGAAAGTTTATTATGAGTTAATTTAGTTAGAAAACTTTTGTCTTTATTAGTTTTGAATGAAATATAGAAGGTGTTAAATAGATTAAACTGATTTCAGAAGATTGGCCAGTCTATATTGTCACCTTATTGAATCCAAAGATCTTGAATCCTTTTTTATAAGATCCAATTTACTATAAAATGCTCTTCAATGTATTCCTCCCTGTAAAAAGATCTTCTAATTTTTTTGGATATTCTAAATGTATAAATCTTTTATTTATAGATATATATATCGAAATATTTATATTAGTATTTGCCTTCTAATTGGTTACAGATCTTATATTTTCAAATAATAATCTATCGTGAAACTATTCACTTTACGATTTGCAAACTCATCTACTTAAACCCATTCACCTTATGAATCCTTATATTTCGTAAACCTACTACTCAACATTATAAATTCATCCCTATATTTATAAATCTGTCCATCTTACAATCCATAAATCTGTATCCATAAATTTATCTTCCTTTACACCTGTATTTTGTAAACACATGTCTTACTATTCTATATTCTATGAACCACACCCTATTATTTATAAATCTATTTAAAAATATACAAATTAAATTCGACTTGTACTAAAAAAAATAGTATAAACTGAATTTAATTTGTGCTAAAAAAAACTCGATTTTGAACAAATTCAAAAGTAGATTAACTATATTAATGTCAAATTAATAGATAGTAAGTTTTTACTTGCATATTGTATATTTGTTAAGTAAACTGAAAGATAAATAAATTAATTATATCACTTTATATAGAATAGGTTTTTATAAGTAAATAGGTAGAGATTGGTAAGTAAGTAAATAGATGAGTGAATAAATAAGCAGATGAGTAAATAGATAAGTAAGCAAGTAGATAAATAGTAGGTAAGCGAATTGGTGAGTAAATGAATGGATAGATAAATGGGCAAGTAAATAGATAGATAAGCAGATAGATAAGAGGATAGATGAATAAGTGAATGGATAGATGGATAAGAGTGGATAAGTAAATGGATAAGTGGATAGATGGGTGGATAAGTGAATAGGCAAATAGATAGGATAGATAGGTAAATAAACAGGACAATTGTTGCATAATTAAGAAATCAACAATATTACATCTTTTAAATTTAATATTAGATATTGTTGAAATAATAATTGAATAAATTCTTTAATCTTTTGTTTATATTATTTTATTGTTATAAAATATATAAAACTCTTTCTGTTGATCCCTTTTTTCTTAAAAATTTCTTTATTTGATAATTTTTGAGAAAAGAGAAGCCAGCCTCAAAAGCACTTTATTCTTTAAAGATTTAGGACTTAACAACAAACTACAACAGTCAACTATCTTCCCAAAGCTTCCCTTATCAATCAAGAGAAGTATAGACAACACAGTATCATACTAGCTTTACTTTACAAGAAAAGGGAAAAATAATCACAAACTGATTCACAGTAAGTTTAGGAGAGCCCAATATCAATTCCTTAAGCTTTTAGCCAGGCCAGTGTCAGTTTACACCTTTCTAGGCACTAGAAGGAACTCTGTAAACAGTAATTCTTACCAATAAATCAGGAAAAACTCAAAGCTTACAAAGCCCAGAAGGATATCAAAGGC